TGGTTGTGCTCTTGGCCCGTGGGATTGGAAAGCACTTTAAGACTTGACTGCCAGCTGTTGCAGAAGTATAAAGTATATTTAATGTGATTTTTATTCAGCTCCTTATGGCGACGACGGCGCGAAAATCTCAGAAACTCATTTACGCCCACTATGAATCTTAATGCAGTGGTGGAAATGGGTTCGAGTTCTGCAGTACTGAGCATCCAAAGGAGCTATAGGTTGTTTTCAAAGGAGGCTCAGGCCATTTCCAAGAGCGATTGCCAGGGGTGTTGTGGCAGCTCTGTTTTTCCCCTGCCGCTTTCGTGTGCTGTCTGGGATCCGAAGGCACGCACTGCAGTGCTGATGACTAAAGGTTTCCCTTTCTCATCTTGTTCAAAAGCTTTTCAGGGGAACAAAAGAATGCTGATGGGAAAAAATAAGATGTAACACAGCGATACGGAACAATAGGGAAGTTAATTTAATGTGAAAGTTAAAGAAAACGGTGGTAAAGGGTCAAGTTGAACTTCTCCACGCCCTTCCCCATCTCCTCAGTACCCTGATTTATATTAGCTGTGTCTGACCCAAGCGAGGGCTGTGCCTAAATACATTATTTCCTTCCATGACATCAAAGCCTGCTTGATGCTACCCGCTGCCATCAAAGAGGACAAACACCTTGTTTTTATGGGCTGTGCGGGGCGGAGAGGAAGCAGCGAGTGGCTGATGTGCCCAGAGGAGGCCATTTCCTACACCCAACCCTTTTCCGAGTGCTTACAACCACTTTACCCTCTTGTAATATTGCAGCCAACCCAAACAGCTCAGCCCTGCCTTGGGAATGCCCTGACACAAAGATGCAGAGTCCTCTGCTCTGGCATTGAGGCAGAAGCATCTGAGGGTATCCCCAAGACTGGGAAAACTGCTAAGAAATTCTTTTTCCCAATCATTAATTTTCTTCCCCCCCCCAAAAAAAACCCCAATATTGTTTCATTTTCACAGGACATTGTGAATTTAAGGTGCTGCTTTGCATCACATGGCGCTTTGTAGACAGGTGTTTACAGCAATGTGCAGGCATGGCATTATAATCAAAGGAACGTACCTAAACCAGAACTGCTGGGGAGCTGAGGGGGGACAAAAAGGGGACCCCACTCTATTCTTCCCACTATTCTCAAGTATGGGCAAGGAAAAAGTGGAGCAATTGCTTCTGCCAGCAGCTCTGCAGGCACAGGCTGCCCTTTCTTAACCTGCAAAGGGAAAAGGAGACCCCGTGTGTACTTAACCTAAACTTTGTTTTTATGACTCTCGAGGCATGTCTATGCATTTTCCTGTTTTTGCTTTGTTCCACGGGATCCTCAGCCAAGTTTCTGTCCCCTTCCAAATAACCCTGGCTCCTGAGCCAGCAATTCTTGCTCTCCACATACTTCAGTCCTCTACGGTGAAGACATTCGGTATCTTTGAACAACATAACATCTCTCCACCATCCACCACTCAACTCACTTGCTTAAAAATCCCCCAGGTTTTGAGGAAAGGAAAAGAGGAAATCCCTGGTCCAGCAGAGGGGGTTTGAGGGGATGGACAGGAGGATCTCCAGTGCAAAAGGGGAAATCTGGGGGGATGCAGGGGGATCCCTTGCCCAACACGAGGCATTTGAGTGATGGAGTGGGGCACTTGACTCCTACAAACCATCCCTGTGCAGGAGCCCCCCAGCAGTGCCTCTCCTACCCTTACCAGCAGGATGGGATGCATGGGGCACCCCAGGGGTGTTGCTGGCACTTGGAGCTTGGGGAGCTCCTCAGTGCCTTCATTGACAACCTGGCCTGTGCTTGGCCAGCCTCTAAACTCAGCTCAGGCTCTGCCTAAAGCAACCCCACATCATCATCTATGTGAGGTGGGACGAGCATCCTGTACCAGCATGGGAGATGCTCTGGTATGAACCTCCCTGCCAGGTTCAGCATCCCACATCCCAACAGGAGCGTGATGCATTGCCATGCCTCCCAGGGCACGCTTTTAAAACTATTAATCTCCTGTTAAAAACACCTGTTCTCCCTACGAACCCAGTGGGATGGCAGGAGAGCATTTTGGAGAGCGTAATAAAAGACACGATTAGAAAGGCAGGCTTTGATCTGCGGGAGGTAAGGAGTTCAGGCAGCTGTGCCGAAACCTCTCACACAGTCACTTCTCCTTCAGCAGCATCCTAACAAAGAGGATCTTGTGTCCACGATGCCTTGTTACAGCCCCTTCCCAAACCCCGGCCACCTGTCCATGATGTTCAAGGTTCCTCACCCATAACATCCAACAGAATCAGATTTCACGGCCCCAATGCTTGCAACCAGCTCCCGGGCTTTCCTCTCTATGACTCAAAGCCTCTTTGTGTGTTGTGGCTCAGGCTGCCAACAGCTGGTTCACATCCAGATGTGGCCCCACATATGTGGCTGAGGATTTGCTCATGATGTGGGGACCCTCCAGAGCATCCCTTCAGACCCGACTATGTGGGCCTACGAGTGGAAATGTGGTGCTCGTTTGCTCTTTGGATTCTGAGGATCAGCTCAGAGCTGCATCTTGTTGGCAGGATCCACCAGCCAGAAGTGGCACCATGACTCCCAGAAGCTGTGGACATCATTGTATCTAGCCCTGGGGACCTTTGGGTGTTGAAGTAGCACGAGTGTGCAATGCTGACATCCTGCTGCATCTTGCTGTCTGTTTTCATCATCAGCATTTCTCCCTTCTGAGCATTTGCACCATATTCACTTGAAAAGCTCAGCAGATGAGAAGCCAACGAAGCAGGATTCCAATCACAGTCAGCAAATGCCTTGCGCTGCACTTGCTGCATGCAGGTGGGTGCATCTCCACCTTGTTAATGCAGCTGCATGGTGCTCAGTCTGGAAGCAGACCCTCTGGTCAGCAGACACAGAGGCTTTAATCTTGTGTTTAGAAGTGGTTTTAAACAGGCCAGCCCTTCTTGCTGTGTTTGGTATATGCATGTAGCAAGGGGATACTCTCAGGTCATTACAACCAGGGATGCAAGCACAGGAGCAGGTAAGGGGAAAGCGCAAACTTGAACTACACCAGACCAGAAGTCCAAACAGGACTGGTGCTCACCTTGTCTTCCAACTGGGCCACTTTGAGGTCCACACATAATACAAAGGCCTCTCATCCCTGCGTTATCTATGCTGTCACAGATGAAATGAAGGTTTCATCTCAGCAAGACACCTGCATCATTTAAACCTGGAAGAGCTGATGCACTGAGGACTGCATTGCATGGGAAGCTTTCACCTTGGGCAGGGGCACAGAAAGCAAACCAACAGGTCCTTTCTATCCTGATTTTCCCTGAGTCTTTGTAGGTAGGACTGCAGAGGAAGCACTTCTTGAAACAAGAACGGGAAAAATTAGCTCTTCTGGTCTGTTGCCACATACTTTCCATAAATGCTGGAACAAGGCGGGTCTGAAAAGGAAGTGAGATGGATACAAAGCAAGAGGAAAAAAGCTTGGTGACAGAAATCTAACTCCGCCAGACATGTCACACAATAAATATTTCACAGAGCAGGCTTTTCATCCAAGTCTCTGCGACGGAGAGGTCCTGTCCTACCTCTCCATGCATCACTTCCTCTGCCAGGATGAGAGGATGCCCCCAGCACTCCCCTCCCATCCCATGCAGGACATCTTCCTGGCTCCCCAGGAAACAGCAGGTAAAAGCAAGAGTCCTGCAGAGCCTCATCCTGAAGTCTTTTTTTGCCAAATAGTGAGCCTGGGACCTCTCAACATGAAACAGAGTTTGCTTCTCCTAGCAGAAGTTTTTCGTTAGGGAGGTTTGGGTTTTATGACAAGCTTCATACATTCCTATAGATATTTTGTGACTTTTGGTGATTTCACGTAAAATGAAGTCTTCTTTCTAAAATGAAGTTTTCTTTCTAAGAAAAGAAAAGACAGAGGAGAGCAAATGGAGAAGGCAGTACCAAAGAGCAGATAGGTGTGCACAGGTTGGATGGTAATGCTGTGCAATGGGGTTTGGGCATCAGGAGCCAGAGATACGGCAAGGATGTTCTCACAGCATTCATATAGGGAGTAAGCATTGTCAAAAGAGGTGCATGAGGCAAAAAGGGATTAGAAAGAGGTTACATCTAGGTCTGTGTAAGGGTGGGTTTCCCATTGCTAGATGCACATGAATCCACTGGTACTGTGGGACATCCAACAGGAGCAGCTTGCAGCGAGTTGGCATAGGGCTGAGAGATGCAGCCACCATAATCATGTTGCAAATTTGCCTCTGTGTTGGGAAGGATAAGGCTGGGCATAGCCAGCTGGAAAAGATCCTCGAAGTGCTGTTTTCAGGCTCGCCAGGCAATTAGCATCGCCATTGTCCACACTGGTTTACTCCTCTCACTGTGGGTTCTGTGACTTCTTAATCATGTCTTGATTGGCCTGATGGGTCTGCAGGATTTGGGGAGTGCTGACGTGGGGTCTGTGCTCTGCTGGAAATGACTGGTTTGATATCACTAATGGGGAAGTGGTGTGGGGAGAGGGGCTTCTAGCATGAGTTGGGACTTCAAATCTAAAAGGAGTGTAGTAATCAATAAAGGCAAGTTGGTTAGAAGACTGGAACAATAGCATTCAGCATTAAAACAATTCCCAGGCTATAAAAAGAGACATGCACACTCCATAAATGAGGAACCGTGTGAGTTTATGACAACAACAGCAGGCAAGAGTGCAACTCATAACATCGCCGTTTGATCAATATTCCTCAAATGGGTTCCAGGCTGACTATAAATGAGATCCCTACGTTCTGCTTTTAGTTCTGCCTGTAAGCCAAAACAAAGCATTGCACAACCCCAGCAGAAAGGGCCGGGCCTCAAGGGCATCCCAATGCCAACGTCCTTGGAAAACCAGCTATCTCCATCCCAGCACTCATGTTGGAAAAGGTGACCCATCCCAGCCTCAGAGGGGAGAGCAGAGCAATGAAAGCTTTGCTTCGCCTGCCAGACATCTCAAGCAGAATTACCTTCTGATGAAAGCATCTCTGCTGACATTTTTTCTTTTTTTTTTTTTTTTTTTGTCTTCCGGAATGCAATGAGAGCGGAAAAATCTCCATTCAAAATGAAACAGAAAGTTGCTCCTTTTCACCTCTTTTGTCTTCTGTGGAAGAGTTCAGTGAAGTTTCCTTTGCAAAATATTTTTCTTGCCCTTGCAGTTGTTTCAGCTCTCCCAGCTGCTCTGATTACTTACCACCTCCAAAGTTCCTGTGACATTTATTTAATGACCACAAGTGGAAGCTGAATGAAAAGAAAGCGTAATATTAGCAAATTATTACCAAATCATTTCCACCTTCTTTGAATGCCAGTATCACTGTGAATGGTTTTTTTCTCCATATTAGCCTAGTTAGTTAGTTTTGCCACACTGGTACCTACCAGCCTGGCATTATCATGCCTGTCAAACCTTGGCCCATTTGCCAAACTGGATGATCACTGTGGTCCTTTTTAACCCAGGCCATTCTATGATTCTACAACCTGTCCCATTCAGAGGGCTGGGATGTGAGCTGGGGGGCACGCAGCAGCAGTGCTGCTCAGGATGGGACCCTGCTGGAGCCCTGCTCAGGAAGGTATTTTGGTATGGACCCAGCAGCTCCACAGTTCGCTGGCTGTTGGCGTAGCTATTTAATTTAAGCCACAAAGCTATTTATTCTGTCAGAACACTGCGCTTTTATTAGCCATTTATTTACAGTACGTGGCATTCCCCACGTGCACGACCTGCTCACGAGCACAGAAGGAGCCTATTTATTTTGGAGTCTTGTCTAATTTACACTAACTGTGGATCAGGGACCCATAAAAAGGCTGGCAAGCAAAGCAGAGCCAGGCTGTGGGCTCTGGCTACACGGCCACGACAAGGCACCATTCATCACTCACCCATAAACACGCTGAGATGGCCATGGTCTGGGAGCAGATCTGGCAAAGGTGGGTCTGTTTTTTAATGCTTGCTGCACAAATAGGTGTGTGTTGGCTGCCTTGGGTTGCTCCGTGTGCCTCAAAGTTGACATTGCTACAGCAGGGAGCTTTTACAAGCTGCACGTCACTGCAGCCAACCTCCTTGCTTTGGCCACGAAGACACAACTCCAAGTGCCCAAGGCAGTTTGGAGTTCAGTTCCCATCTACTGAAAGAATAGAAGGGGCAGAGGTGCAGCCACATTTCAACCTACGAGAGCAAAAAATAAAGAACATGATGATTAGGAACTGTTTTACAGCGTGCATTTCCTTCTGCAGCACCCCAAAGCATTTGCAGGGAACCCTGCGATGCCAAACTTCTGGGCACAGCAACAAATAATCATTGTTTAGCAGCCTTTTGTAATCCACCCAATGGTTTTTAAATAAACTGGATGGAAAATAATGGAGATTTCAAGCCCTGGAACCCATTATTCTTGCATGCCAAGAGCAATGCCACTAAGTGCAACAAGGACCCTGAAGTTAATGAAATTCCTGCCTGAGCAAACTTCTGTCATGCTGTTCAGTAAAATGACTTGTGCATCATAAAAGCAACATCACTCAAACTGTTAAAATGCCCTCTGTGTAACGTAAGGCGAAGGCACAGGAGGAATATATTTGTTAAATTACATATAACCGGTCATATAGACTTAAAATATATCTTTATTAGGTTACTGGAGGTTGTTGAGTTTAAAGCACGATGGTGAATTGATCAACTGCTGTGCCAGTGATAGAAGTCTCCCGTTTGAATAGAAGGCTGAAAAATTTTAACTGATTTCCATACAGAACAGCAATCCATCACCCCACCACGCCTGGAAAGGCTCCATTTCTAGAGCAGCTTTCTGTGAAAGTGCTTCATTGACAGTCAAATGAATAAATAGCTCAACCACTTCAAAGTCCCCGAAGGAGCATTTGTTTGAAGAAGGCATTTTTCGACAACAGCATCCACCCTGTTTCTAAAATTCCTCATAATCCTCCACATTGACTGAAGCTCTGTTTTGCGTGAGAAGAGAATTGTAGGGGAAAAAAAAAAAAAAAAAAAAAGCCTTCCAGACAGCTTTAATTAAGATTTATCTTGATTAAACACATTTCCAGAGCTGGATTTTTGAAGTTCTACCCTCTGTCCAAGTGGAACCGGCTGCAAGTTGAACTTGTGAGCTTTGCTGGCCTTTGGATGTCCATGCATGGGATGGAGTTTGGCTGCTGACATCTCACCTGCTGCATCCTGCACTATGCCAGAGGATGCACAGGAGTGACTTTACTTCTGTTGGATGAAGGCTGGAAGGTCTGGGAGTGCACATTTGAAGGGCTGACTGATTCGTTTCACCTCCACTCTCCCCCTCCTTAAAGTTTCTAAAGAATTTAGCTGGAATTTATTTTCGAGATCAGTGCCTGTGAGTAATCTACCCTGGCTAACTCCAGGTGTCATTTATCATTTTTCCCCGCTCCTTCGTTAATAGAGCTGTCTATAAAAGATCCAACAAGCCAGCAGCTTGTTGTGCCAGTTCACATCCATGGAGCAGGTGAGACCAGACCTTCATCTTGGGCATATTTGGAGCTTTCGTTGCTTTTGGATTAAAAACCCCCAGGATCAGCAGCAGCAGCAAAGCTGTTGATACACACTGATCACAGAAACAAAACCATTCCCCTTGGAGAATGCTGGTGTGCTGTCGAGCAACAAAGGCATGGAAAGCATTTCCAATTGCAGGTTAAAGGGAGGTTTCTTGGAAGCCATCACTTTGTTGTTCTGATTCACTGACATAAACCTGGAGGGCTCACTGTGTTTCTTCTCCCAGCTGCAGCTGTTTACCTCCTAGCTTATGTCTGGCTCCTGGCTGAGCATTGTGCAGATCCATGGGTGCAGCAGGGGCTTTGCAGTGATCCTAATGCATCCCACTGAGAGGCAAGCACCCCAAAATCTCAGCACTATGTGAATTGAATCTTAGAATAGAATCACAGAATGGCCTGGGTTGAAAAGGAGCACAATGCTCATCCAGTTCCAACCCCCTGCTATGTGCAGGTCACCAACCAGCAGATCAGGCTGCCCAGAGCCACATGCCTGCAGGGATGGGGCATCCACAACCTCCTTGGGCAACCTGTTCCAGTGCCTCACCACTCTCTGTGTGA